GTAATTTGGGCAGAGGCAGCGCTGGGAAACAGGGCTACACTGAAAAATACTCCTCTGCTCCTATTCTCTGCACTACCTGGAGCTGTGATGAGAAGTCTCAGTCTTCCTGGTCCCATCCTCCCACCACTTACAACCTCTGCAGCTTCCATATTTTGCTCCCAGAAGAAAGATGTGACTTTCTGCCCTACAGTGAGCAACACTGTCAGATGTGGGCTTCCTTATCCAAATATTACCATCAACACAATCCTCAAAAAACCTCCAGCCACTTATTTTCATGATTCAAAGTCTGTGTAAAACCAAGAGACTGCATTATCTGACATCCACAAACTAAAACTCCAAGCCACATCCTGACTTTTTTTTTTCTCTATTACTGAATCAGCAGCAACAGGCACATTCTGTTAATAATTTTGATGGCAGGGTCTCACACTCCTTCCCTATCAACAACTCCCATTTCAAACTGCTCACTTCAAAGTCAAGAGGATTCTTCTCAGTATCAGAACTTCAAACTGTTTTCTGGGCTGTTGGCACAGTCACTGAAAACATTTTGTCCTGTAAATCAACAAGGCTGCAGAAGAAAACCCTGGTATGAGCTCCGGGAGGACAACAGGAATAAGCCTGAGTCACAAAATGAGCAGCTACCAAATCCAGACAATATCTTCTTGTCAATGTGTATGATTGCAATTGTAATCATGCTCTAAATATGAACACATCAAAAGCACCGTGACCTTTCTACTATGAAATTACTTTGAAATATTTTAGGGCTTGAACATTTTGGTTTTAAAGCTAACTCACAATCTGCCTCAAAAGGCTGCTTGTAAGTGAAAAAAAAAACAACTAAGATTGTTTAGAACACGTTGAAAAAAAACACAAAAAAAGGTTTGCTGCCTTGAAAAGTGCACAGATCCAAGTGTTTGAGATACCTCCCCTTTGCTAAACTTAGCCCTTCCGTGACCCTCAGGGAGGAATGCAGGACCTGTCTACATTATCGAGTTTATAAGGATTAAACTTTAGCATAAACAACAGATCATTTCTGAACTTCACTCTAAAAGCTAAATTCCTGACTATTTCTCAATGCTACTCTTCTGTGTTCCTCTCTCTTCGTTCCCCTTTTTTCTTCATGTTTGGTGAATGTGGGACTATTAGATTCCTGACCACAAATTGCTTCTCCCGCTCACTAAGAGCTTGCCACTCAAACTGCTGACAAGTCCTCCCACATTTTTCCACCTTTGCGTCTGAGCACATCAGTACACTTTCCTGAATATTTCCCATATTGCTCATTAAAATAATTGGGGTTTGTGTGTGTTTGTCAGGAGGAAAATAAAACTCAGTAAGAAAGATTTTCTTTCTCAAATATATTATTTAAAATATAATTTATTTGTTCTACTTGTTTCAGCATTTAAATTAGATTTAAGGGTCAGAATGTTGCAGATTTAGCATTTAAACAACAGTATTGATGCTCCTATAGGGCTTGTGGCAACAAAAACCAGCAGTAAGGCTATTATTCACTGAAGATTTCTTTTTCTGGGCTACAGCTTTTCAAGTTCAGACTCATCAGTTGAAGTGAGGGAAAAATCCCTTTAGCTATTTTTGTTACAGGAAAATAATACTTCACCACTAGTTCAGACAGGGGGGGGAAGGGGCACAATGAACCAGAACCTCCTGATTTGTCCTGCAGATCATCCTTCAAGACAAAGAGCATCTTTGCTAATTATAGAAGAAAAAAAAATTTAAACTAGGAGCAGTTGAAAAACTGTTTCTCAGCATGCTCAGTGGGCATTAGCTGCGATTTCAGCAGCTTAGCAAGTCCCACCCCTGTGTGAGCTCAGCAGGGAGGCCTGGAGCACTGCACATTCTCCCTGCTCAGCAGGGACAGGGGCCGCAGCTCAGCTGATTTGCTACAGGAATACTGGAAAATTGCCACCAAAAAAGCAAATCCCGTGGAAAAAAAATACAAGAACCCCCCCAGCAACTTCAATAAGGAATTAAGAGGAAAAAGTGGAAAAAAAAAAAATAAAATCTCAGCTCCCACAGTTTCAAGATGTTGAACTCTTGCTGCATTATGGTCTGGGGCTTTTTCCATTATCAAAATAAGCAAAAGGTTTAGGTTAAGCCAGATTTATACAAACCCGGCCCTGACAATGTAAGTGCAAACTTACTGTGCACTAACTCTTGCCACAAGTCCGTCATGGGAGCCAAGGACCGGCTGTAGAATCTGTAACAGCTGTAATATCCACAGCTATTTTTCTTTTAATTTGGAAGAGGAAAAAAAAAAACTAAATAGACAAGTAAAATGCAACAAAGTCTTTATTTTAAAATCAAACAGCAGCTTAAGTTTCATAGGGGCAACTGAGACTTAACAGCTCACATGCTCTACATTTAAGCACACATTTAATGGTTTCAACCCAAGCACTACTACTACATGTTGTACAAATAAAGAACACTTTGCCTATTGCAATCTCTCTCATACACTGCACATAACACAAGATTACATTGAGAAAATTTCAGAGTTACACACACAAGCAGCACCAGAGTAAAAACACAAATGTGCTTTTGTAATACAGCAGTAATGCCATGAGAACAATTTTTGAATTTTCAAACCTCTGAACACTCATTATGTTTGTTTTAGTATTGCCAGAATAGATAGAAACATTTTTATCTCATCACATCATTCAATACAAGTTTGTAGAAGTCTGCTCATCCAAAATGGGAGAAAGCATAGACTAATAAGTTACATGGCTGGGACATCACACATTCAATTTTCCCTTGCACACTTTGCACCTGGAAGTTTGAATTAAAAATGTTGTGGGTTTTTTTTTTTTTTTTTTTTACTTCAGGGAACATTTGGAAAATTTAAATCAATGACTGCTAGTCGGTTTTATCCCCCCAGAAAAAGAGCACAAACTTTTGCATGTTCTAAGATGCCAGTTCAACACCGTCTCTTTTCTGCATGTTTTTTCAACTTTGACCTATTAGTTTTCAAAATAAGATCTGGCTGTAGCTGAGCCTCTTTTTAAAAAGCGATTTAAATGTACATGGGATTTCATCACCCCACCTTGCAGTGGGGAAATCGCAGACAACATTAGCTAAGGAATATTACTTTCAGGTCACTTGGGATATGACAGTAAAACGAAGAGCCAGGGCCTTGTCAAAGCGGTGCCAGTTATCCAGCAGAATGTGAGGCAGCAGACAAATTCCCCATTATAACATACAGAGAGACTGTAAACAACCTACAGAGAGACTGTAAACAAAGACTAAGGGGCCATGAAGATCACTTTCCGTATTTCATTAAACCGAGGAGCTAGTTTTCACACTCACAAAATCCAGAGTTCACTACTGTTATATCGCTTCATGTTAGGCAGCAAATGACACCTTCAGCCCCAAAGACTGAAGCATTTTAGGAGTTAGAAGTTGCTCACCTCACCCTGTGAAACAATTTGGGTGCTACAGATCGTCAAATATAAAAGCTACTCAGAGTCTGGCATTTACCACATGATTGCTGCCAGTCAAGCGGATTTAAGGGCATATTTTAATCTCTCTCACATTATTCTGTCCTGGAATTTTTGCTTCAAGCTCACAGTAATTCTGAGTTGGGTAACCCGGGCCAGAGCAAGGGGCTCCCCATGATAGGTGTTAGTTTACAGAGATGGCAGTGTTTCCTAATGCTAATGTATTCCCATGCTGCATACCTCAACTAACAGTTTCATCTCTAACAAACTGCACTGGAATATGCTGATAGCTCCAGCTCAACAACACAATATCATACAGACAGTGGCCAGTGCCAAATGGTTAGTTAAGCAGATAAGAAAGGCACTCATTCTTCTTTTAAAAAAAAAAAAAAGGAAGCTATTGCAGTCAGGCAGACAGAGTGTGGATGGGAGCTGGCAGATTCCACAATACAGAGTCACGTCAAAAATGGCCTCCTGCAAACTGTTCCTTCATCAAGCATTTGAGTCAACCGAAAGGGAGGAATCTTTCCCATTATTCACAGGAGTTTCACCTTCCTATTCCACAGCAGAGCACCATTTTCTGTACATTTTGACATACAAGCGTATAAGAAGCACAGAGAATAGATTTCACTATGCAGCAGAGGGAAACTCTTCTCCCCACTTTCTGTTTCCAGTCCCAAAGTTGAGCCTGGCCTTTATTTTGACTGTTCCCTGGTCTGTGAATGGAAAATCCCTCCTCAGCACTAGCAGGCTGGTGTCTGCTGCACACACCCACTGCACACAGCAGAAATTCCAGTCAATAAGGCAAGTGGGGCCCAGGCGATGGAAGGGGAGGAAGGAGACATACAAACAATAAGAAAAGCATCTGGCTCTGTTACTGGCTGAGAAGGAGGCTGGAGTTCAAAAGAGACACGACTGCAGCCTTCACTTCACAGGAAGATCATATCAATTCTCGCTGTCCTACTTTTCACACAGACCAAAATATGTGGAAAGGGTAACTTGGGGTTTTCAGCCCACACTTCAATGCAATTCCATTAACTCCAGAACAGCGACAAAACCCACCTTGGAGGTTTTTGTCCCACCAGACCAAAATATACCCCTGCTTCTGCTTTGGGCCTGTGGAAACGGCCTGAAAAGTAAAGCCCTTTGCTGAACGTGAGCCAGCCATCCCTCCACCACCACACTAATGGAGGCTGCTCTGCTGTCCTTCCCTGGAGATAGCAGCCAAGTCTAGTGAAGCTTCTCTCATAGCAACCAGAGCTCCACAGCCAACAGCAGCTGCTGTCACTGCCTTCAACGCTTACCCACAGGATCCAGAGCACAGCAACACCCTCCTCCCTGCACCTCTACAGCAATAAAAAAAACCCAGAAGGCTGGCGACAAGATGACTTCCTAGGTCAACCACAAGAAGCAGAAAAAAAGAAATCCTAGTATTTCCTATACAAGTGAAAAGAGGAATCTCTGATTATTGAAGAAATAAGAAATTCCTTTTCTGGATTTGGGTTTCTGGCAGCAACACCCAGCCAGGGTGGGGGCAGCCGCCTGAAATCCGTGATGTACCAGCACACCAACGTCAAGTTCTACGAGGCTCAGCTGCATCCTTCACCCAAGGAGAGGGATTCGCCCCCTCGCCCCCGCCGTGCCCCCAGCGCTCCCATTACATCATGGCCCGAGCCCGCAGCAGCCACCGCAGCCCTGCAGCGCCCCGTGCCCTCTCCAGACCCGCAGAACACCCCGCTCCCCCCCCTAAAGAGAACCCCCAGGATCTCAGCTGGTGTCGGAGGAGCGCGGGGACACGGCCGGGAAGAGGCTGCGAACCCCCCTCGCTGCGACACCCGTTTCCCCGCTCACCCCGGGCCACACGCGGCCTCGCCGCCCTCCCTCCCCCCGGCACGGCCAGACGGTGCTCGGCGCCGCTTCCCCGCCCGTCCCGGCGGTGAACTCCGGTCACCGGCACCCAAGGACGAGCCGCCGGCCGGCGGTGACCTTGCCGGTGCCGGCGGGGGTGGGAGGTGGCCGGGGCGCGGGCAGGGCGGCGGGGAACCCCCCCCGCACCCCGCGGTGACGGGCGAGGAAATGCGGGAGAATCCGCGCTGCAGCCGCCGGCGCCGGGAGCGCCGAGTTACGGGGGAAAGGCGCCGCACGGGCACCATGAGAAAGCAGAAAATGCAGGTCAAACGCCGCCTCCCCCGAGACCCGGAGGGGCCAGCGGCGGGGGCGGGCAGCGGCGGCCCGGAGGGGGCTGCCCCTGGCCGGACAACGACCCCCGCGGCCCCGCGGGACAATGAGGGGACGAGGGGGCGCGGTGGAGGCCAGGCTGCAGCGGGGCTTCCCCGGCGCTCGCCTCCACCGACAAAGCCCCGCGGCCGCCTCGGCCCTGGCCCCGCACCGGCCCCCAGCAGACCGAGCCCGCGCTCCGCCGGGCCCGCCATGATGCCCGCGAACCGCGCCGGGCCGGGTCAGCCCGGGCCGGGCCTCCGGGGGCACGGCGGGGCGCTGCCGCCCAGGGCGCCGAGGCAGCGCGGAGCGCCGAGCGGAGCGCGGAGCTACGGCCCGCGCCGGGAGCCCCCCGCCTGCCCCGCCGCCCACCCCGGCGTTCCCTCCCCGCCGCCAGGAACGGCCGGTTCCCGCCCGCTCTCCCGCGCCTACCTGGCCGGCCCGTTCCCCGGGCCCCTACGCGGCACCAGGCCCGGCTCGGCGCCACGGCGTGTCCCGGGCAGCCAGCGGCAGCGAGCGCTCGGCCGCGGCGGCGGCCCCTCCCCGGCAGCAGCGGCGGCTTTTCCCCGGGCCGGGCGGAAACGGCACTGGGCGCACGGGGATCCCCTGCGCCGGCGCCAGGGGCGCCCCGGCCACGCCCACCCCGTTCTCCGTTGGCTGCCGCGGCGCCGCGCCCCGCCCCGCCAGGGCGCCCTCCTTCGTCACCGCCCCTCCCGCCCTCCTTCGCTATTGGCGGTCCGCCCGCGCGGCTCCGCCCACGCCGCAGCCTCATTGGTCGCTGCATGCCGGCCCCGCCGTTCGTCCCACGGTCGCGGCGCCCCATTGGCGTGCGGGGCCGCCCGTCAGGCGCGGGGTGGGCGGTGGGGGGCGGCCGCCGCCGGAGCCGACGCGGGGCGGGGCGTGCGGGCTGCGGCAGCGCCCGGCGGGCGAGCCGCGCTACGTGCCGAGGGGCGGGGCGTGAGCGCGGCGCGCGGGGCGACTCCCGCGTCGGGACACGTGGCAGAACGAAGGGGCGGTGCGGGGGGCGGCCGGGAGGGCTGGGGCGGAGGACGCAGGGCGCATGCGCGGTGTCGCCGCGCGCGGGGCCTGCCGCGCGGCACGTCCGCGCGCGGGGGGCGGGGGTCCCGGCGAGGGGTCCCGGGGGCACCGCCCGGGGCCGCGACCGAGACCCGCCCCGCCCGGGCCGGGGCGGCGGGGCCAGCGCACCCACAGCCGGCCGGACCCCTTCCCAGGAGCCCCGAACAAAGGCCGCGGGGGCCGTGAGGCGGAGGGGCGGCCCCTCGGCGGGAGGAGGGGCCCCGCGGCGCTCTCTGCCCGCGCTCGGCCGGGGGGCTCCGCCCGGTGCCGGTGCACGGAGAGAGCGCTCTGTGCCGTCCGCCGCGCTGCAGGGACGCGGGAGGAAGAGAGCGGAGCCCGGGCGCGGCGGGATAACGCTGGGGATGCTCAGCCGGGGCCGCTCGAAGGAGGCCGCGCACCGGGGGCGGCGGGAGGGCAGCAGCTCCCGCCGTGGCCTCGCCGCCCCCGCGGGAGGGCGGTCTGGCCCCCGCCGGCAGGCCCCGGTCACGGCGCGGTGATCCAGGCGTGCCGCAGGCTCTGCGCGGCGCTGGCGCGGCGCTCGGGCGCGTAGTGCAGCGCGGGCAGCAGGAAGGCGGCGAAGGCGGCCGCCGCCCGCGGGGTCCAGCCGTGCCGGTCCGCCAGGGTGCCGGGGAGGCTGCGGGGGCAGAGCCGGGAGAACCGCAGGAGCGCGCCTGGCGGAGACAGCGCGGGCGCGGCGCCTCAGTCACATCGGCGCGGCTGAGGTGGCCGCGCCTCGGCATTAACCCGAAGCGCCCTGAGAGATCCCTGCCTGCGCCTTGGAGTCGCCTCTGTGAGCTCCACGTGCGCTGCCCCTTGCAGGTTTGGCTCTCGGGTCTTTCTTGGGAATCGTCTTCCCAAGCTAGTGTTTGGAGGCTCCCCGTTCCCGAGCGCTTCCTAGGCGAGAACATGCCAAGAGTGTGCAAAGTATTCCCAGAATAGCCCTGCGAGAGCCATTGCTGCTTGTTCCCTGGGCCTGCCCACAGGCACCCGGATGCATCTGGCTATTTCAGAGCTCACAAGACACTAATGTTGAATTCGCTTCCCGTTTACGAGCTCGGTGGGGCCTGGAAAGAGTGTATGACTGACCGAGGAGCTGCCGTCGTCCCCAGGAGCCCGTGGTGTAAATGCAGGGATTCAGGTTAAACGTGTGTGGTCAGGCCAGGTTGGTTCATGTGGAGAGTGAACATAGAACTAGTTCTGACTCATTTCTTTTGAGTACCATAGAATGAATAAGTGTGAGCAAAGCGTGTGGATGTGCAGGGAGGTGCTTGTTGGATTCCAGCATGGCACCAGCACTCAGCACTGAATGAGCTGTTGGTAGGCTGAGGCTATGGGACTCAGTGAGTGTGAAAGCAGAGAAAGAGGATTATAGCCTGAAGTGCAGAAGGATGGAGTCATGTGATGTGATGTGGTATAGTCAAAGACAAGAATTTCAAGACTGATGAGTCAAAGGGAAAGAAACTGGGGAGAATAAAACAAAAAAGATGTTGCAGTTGGGTCAGAAGACTAAATATAGCAGCCATGCTGGAAGGATGTGAGTGTCCCATTCCTGGTCATCATTGTTCTCTGCCAGTGAACGGGTGAAATCCAGCCAGTTACACACTCTTCAGCCTTCCTGGTGTGTAGCTGTTTCCTGCCTGTATTTCCATTCTCTCCAAATCCAAAGGAGAAAGAATGGAATTGTTTTCCCTGTTGGGTGTTTGCTGTGACTGTTTTTCAGGATTTTGTATTCATCCCTGGAATGCTCATGGGTTGCAGAGGTAGGCAGGGCAGGGAGTATTACTGCTTTTTATGAAATCTCTGTCTTGTGTAATGTAACATTTGGGGTGTTTCAGTGTGAGCTGAGTAGGAGTGTGTCAGAGATCCACTGTGATTTTTAAAGTAAACTTCCTTACTCTCATTCTTACCTGGCCTGCTGAAAAATTTTGTTGACTTGTTCCATGAGAAAGCAATTTGAGGAGGAATTCTTCCCAGGAGTTCGATAATACGAGCAACATGATCTAGACAGAGGAGGGAAAACACATCTAGATACAATAGTTGTGACACTTCTGTCAGTGAAATGAATAAAACTGATGGAGTCCTACCATCATCTCTGGAGAAATATTTCCCAGGTTGAGGATCAAATAGACACTCCCCAGTTGCCATTTCAAATGCCTAGAAATGGAGTAGCATTGTTAATTGACTAACTGTTCTGGAGTTTTTCTTCCCTGCTAACTAATAGTATCGATTTCCCTTGCGATCACACAAACCTGATCCTAAAATATGGAAATACACTGGCACACTGGCTTGATGTCTACCACAATGAAACAGCACCTTTAGCTCTGTCAGGATGAAAAGCAGCATGTGCCTGATTCAGTCCGACATACACTGTGTAAATTGCCTTAGAGCTTAAACTAATTAGGAGTGGTTTTTATCAGCAGCACGCTTTCGGCCCAAAGAGCAGACAGCCCCTTTTGCCTTCTCGGCAAGGAAGCTTTGCTTTACGTGAAAAGGTGGGTGCCAAGGACACACTGCCCTGGCCAGTTAGTGTCTGTCACCTCCTTGCATGCACAGCATTGTCCCCAGTCCTACCAGGCAGGCTGTGCTCCAGATATCCGCAGGAGTGCCATAGTCTAATCCAAGAAGCACTTCCAGGGCACGGTATGGCTGGGTCTGTATCTCCTTGGAAAAGGGCTTGTACTGAAACAGAAACAAACTCCCTTTGGTTGGCATCCCTAAGCCAGTCAGAGCAGCACTGGTGGTCACAAGCTTCCCGCACAAGGAGGGGACACAGGACAGGACTGAACATGTGTTCTCAGCTCTGCAAAGGGCACAGCCAACACATTCCCAGTCCCACTGACACCAGAGGGAGTCTACCTCCCAACATTTTTCACTGAACATAGTTTTGAATTTCTAATTGCAGGGATTGAGTGCAAGCTGGAGAAATGTCCAAAGTTGACAGTGTCTTTGGGAGCACAGGGCCCAGCTTGGAGCTGGGAGTGCTGAATATAGCACCCCCCAAAGTTGGCATCTCTTCAGCACACTGAAATAGCTATTCAGCTGTAATGGGATGGACATGCAGGGTGGGAATGGAAAGGAGCACGCAGCCTCCAGGGTTGTTAGAGGATTGAGACTTGGAGCAGACTCACTGTCCAGCACGCGCTGCCTAGATCTGCAATTTTCACTTCTATGCTCATTAAATCAGATTCTTCCAACTGATTGCCAGGATCACCTCCTAGATGAAAAGAACAGAGAGAAATCGTCTTTCCAAACCAACAGGTACACATCACTTACCATAGGAGAGGTATGTCTGCCTGCCTTTAAAGTGTTTCAGCCTAAAAGGTCCTAAAATGCTTTTTATCATCAATCAAAGGCCACCTCTGGTTTTTGAGGAAATGCAAAGGAAGCACTGATATTCAGTGAAAACAAGAGGATGTTTGGGAAGATGGTAGCTTGGAGTTGAACAGTGTGATGTGCTCCTGTCCTGCTGCAAGGTTCCTCTAGCACCAAGGTTAAATTACTGTGGGCCCAGAGGAGAGCACATCCTACCAGCACTAGTCTGAACCAAAACATCTGTAATTCCTCTTCAGCCTTCAGCAGTGTGGCTCTCACAGACCTTGGACCCAGCCTGCTTGGCAAGCACCGTGAAGGTTACATTTTCATATGACCCTAGGAAACAGTAATTCCTGCTTTAGCGCTTTACAGTGAGCTGTCAGCCCATGCCTAATACTGTGCTTTTCTGCTCTGAGCAAAAGACTCAGTCACTAATTTAGGATTCCCTGATTGCCTCAGAGTTTGAGAGACAAAACAGCACTGTCATGGGAGAAATGCTCACGGGAGAACACAGTGCAGGGATAATATGAAAAGGTCTCATGGCTGGGAGATGAGCTAATCTCTTGAGAAATGCTCCAGCCCTACATCTTATTCAATATTCACACCATTCCCTGCAAATAAATTATGTCTCAAAAGGCCTTGAAGATTAGCAGTACGTACAAGTCTCCCACAAACCTCAGAAATATGGGAAATAAAGAGCAGAAGTGTCACACAGCTTTCTGATCAAACCATTTTGTATGCAAACCTTTCAGTGGCTGAAAACACTGGACACAGGGAACTTAAAGCCAACAAGAGTGAGCTCCGATGCTGCAGGGGGGAGGCTGTTGACAGATACATGTGACCAGTTTTCCTCCACACAAACCCACCTGCAAGACCACATTTCTGTTGGTGCCTTGGGTAGTCGCTCAGCCTGATGTTTGTCTTAGGCAGAGATAGGAGAGGCCTCTCAGCAGCCCAAGCTGGCTGTAGTATTTTGTACTGGCTGTTGCAGGAGATGGGAACCTTTCCTGAGGTATCTGTAGCTGCTGCCTCTGTTTCTCTCCCAGCAATAAACATACAAGTCCCTCTTCTTGCTGCAAACCCCCTGGAGTGCTCACCTGCTCCCTTCAGCTTCACATGTGTTCTCTGGTCACAGTCAAGCGTATCCATGAGAAGCCTTTGGAGGCTTTTGTCGTGTCCATGCAGTAGGATGTTCTCCGGTTTGATGTCCGCGTGGATGATGCGGCAGCGCTTGTGCAGGAAGTACAGCCCTGCCAGCACCTGGGAGAGCAGGGAGCACGTCACACCGGCCACACGAGGGGCCCCACCAACCCCCCCTGCCCCAGCAGCTCTCAGAGCAGCCAGGCACAGCGGGTAGGGTAGTTGTGGGCATTCTGGTACTGACGATAACTATCAGCCGTAAGTTATTTCCTACTGGGGTGGCCCTGTGGGAGCAGGTTCCAGGGGTTCTGTTGCACAACACGAGGAGCAGGTGCCAGAGCCCCACGTGCCCAGCGGGGGCCTGGGGAGCCCAGGGGGGACAGGGCTGCTTGGGGTGACACGCAGCAAAAGGCAGCGCAAAAATCCACAGACACCACCATGGGTGGGCAAGCCCAGTGAGATGGGAGGAGGGTGGGGCGATGAGGAGGCATTACAATAACAGAGCTTACCTTTCTTCTGAAAAATCATTCCTGCTTGTACAGCTGTTATGGCCTAGGACCACTGTGCCTTCCTGCTGATTATAACCAGCCCCCAACTTCCATCTGAATGACAGTGACATGGCATGGGAGGGTGTCCCATCATACAAGGAAAGAAGGAGGCACAGCGTAACCCAGACAGGAGGTGGGAGAGACCATGAGTGAGTGCTTAGAGAGGATTTCAGGGCCCTGCAGGAGAGCCATGTAGGGAAAGAACAGCCTACGATGGAGCAGGGAAAGCCTGGCCTGTCACGGGGGAGAGATAAACAACACCTACCAGAGAGGAACAGTCACTATCAGAAATCAATAACAGCAGAAATGCTACAGGGAGAGTTACATTTGTTTTTTAAACACTCTGGACAGTCATAAAGGGCTGGCAAATATTCTCTGTATTATCAAATTCTATTCTGGGATGAACACCAGCCCCAGGGAAATACCAACCTTAAATGGTAACTGTGAAACGCGGGGAAAGATTTAAATAACTAAACTGGAATGAATCAGAAGTAAATACTGCTCCAGTGCTGATCTGAAGGGGGAAAACAGATCTGAGATTTTACAATTAAAACAGATAATGGATCAAGCAAAAGGCCTGGGTGTAAAATGAGTCACAGAGATGAATGCCACTACATTTTTGTGTAACTTATTCAGGTGTTAGTGGAGCTTCTTTAGAGAAAGAAGAGGCTATTCCAGAAAAAAAGTGATGGAGGAAGCAGTTTTCTTTCTTATTGTCCCTAGAAGGGCACAGGAATCAGGGTAGCAAATCTTCATCTTGGCAAGTGTGCAGACTTCTGATAAATCTCAGCATGAGAGGCAAAATGTAATTTTAACTCCTCTAAGGCCTCACTCAGGTTCCCTATGCCTTAAGCACAGCCAGTGCATAAGAAACTCAGTTTTCACAATCTGTTTGAGCAGGACACCACATCCTTGCAGGGGATGAAGGAGGAGTTGGCTCTGTGAGGAAAACCTTAACATGGGAGGAGAACCAGCCAACCACATCAGCAATTTAGAAATTCCTGGAAGGATGGGAGGGAGACCTTGAGCAACCTTCAATGGTACCATGCAGAAAGCTGCTGGAGCTGACAGTGCTACCCGTGGCTTGATGCCAAGGCAAATGCCAATGGCCTGGCATTGCTGCCAGAAGGGATTTCTCAGGGCAGCAGGAGGGCAGAGATACACGTGTTTTGCACACAAGAGGCAGAACTATGGCAGGCTGTTTGCCCCCTGCTACCCCTACGAGCAGCAGAACTGCTGGAGAACTCCATGATTACTGAGATGATGGGAACAGAAGTGCTGGCCCTGACACCCTGGTGCAGGTCTGCTGGTGCTCCATGGTGGTGGCCCTGACTTCTTGCCAAACCCAAGGAGGCTGCAGCTTGGGCAGTACCACTCAAGTAAGGCCCAAATAATGCCCATCTCCTTGGGAAGAAGACTATGGCATGTCCCTTAGCCAACAGTCCCTTAGTGCCCTCACCCAGTTCCAGCTAAATTCTCACCTGCTGTAAAGATTTTTTCACAAAAGGCAAAGGCAGTCCCTGAGTTGTGTAGTTTCCCATCAGACATCGCAGGGAAGGACCCAGTACCTCAAATACCAGGCACATATGTGGGAAAGAGTCAGGGATTCACTAACAGGGAGAAGATCCTACTACCAGCCCTTTGCCTTTCACCAGAGCAACCAAATACCTCTTTATCTCCTCAAAAACCTCTCCCCTCCAGCCACCTCCATGTGCCCAGGCTTTGCTGGCTCAGAGCTGCAGCACTCTCCACAGAAGGATATGGAAGCCATTCTCTCCAATCATTCTGAAGTCATCTAACAAAGAGACGATATTTTCTCCTGCCCGATCCTTCTTCTTCATACAGTTCACCTGAGAGGGAGGATTCCAAGAAAGCTGCAATTAGAGGTATTGTATGCACAAGGACACCTTGCACCTGTTTTATCCTGTTCCCAGACATTCTCTTCCAGGAATTGGCACTTCATGACAAATCCCATGAAAACACCATCAGAAAAACCAAATGCTCCAAGCACACAAGCAGAGTCTGTTACCAAGGAATGAGTTTCTGCATGTTGTCCCACTCTTGACCAGGTGGGACCATCACCCTCACAGTGTCAAAATAACTCACACTGATCCTGCTGATAGTGTCTAGCAGACTTTCTGCTGCTTATTCTATCCATGCAGGCCCATAAAGTGCTTCTACTTGTGCTGGGAGGAGATTTCCCCAAGAACATAGCTCCCTGCTTTCAGCAGCAATGGCGATTTCCTTTGCCTTTCTGCAGCCTTTGCTCCTTGTTCCCAGAGCTAAGAGTAGCAGGCTGGGACATCACCTTTTAAAACTCCCACCATCCCTTCAGTAATTTCTCTGAAAAAGGTTTGTGCTGGCATGACAGGGGTGAGCAGCCCTGGAAGCCACAGGAGCCCAGATTGCCTCTCCTGGCAGCTCTGCAGGCACTGACCTCCCTGTGCTGGTGGGAACAGCCCTGGGAACCAGCTGTATGCTGCTGAATGGGCAGGCGTGTCTCTCGGAGACAATTACTAATAAATCAGGGGGAAGGCTTGGTCTGTATGCAGGGTTGTGCTGATGTGTAGAAAAGCAGCCCTCTGATTACATTAAATTAGTGCCACTTGGTACTTCCTCTTGCATCACTCCATCTGGCTCATGTCCCTTTGGATAGGGCCTGCAGATTTACAGGTGTGAACTAAACCTTTCTCAAACCTGTTGGAGAAAGGCCGCAGAGTAATTTAAAATGTAAAATTTAATGGCTTTTACTCATCTGACACTGATGTAACTTTGTATTTGGGCAAGCTTAAAGAATTTTAACCATGAGCTTTCTAGAACTAGCAGCTCAAGCCCAAGCACCTTCAAAGGCCACTCACTGAGAAACAGATACAAACACCTAATTACCACCTTCATTAGCAAAGACAGGAAGAAGCTTTCTGACTTCAGACGTTTATTATATTTTTGCTACATCATACTTTTTTCTATTGCAGATATTGCCTTTTACTTCAGTATCAGTATTGGGATAGAGCAATGTCTCCTGAGCTCGGAATGGCAGAGATACAGCAAACACACTCCCATCTCTTTCTTAGGAATGTTACCATCTTCTTCTGTTGATTAGCCACCCTATCTTTCTGCAAGTTCCTCCTATTTGCTGGATTTCAGTCTCAGCTAAAAGAAATGGGCCAACAGGACAAGTGGGACACAGCCAGCGTGTCCAGTATGACTGGAGGAAGGAGAAGGTTCATGTTTCAGAAACCAATGCTACACCAGGGTGATTTCTATGAATTTCCTAATTTTTGTGGTTTTTTTCCTGTTCTCCACCTAGCTCCTTGTACTGAGACCTGAATGGAGAGGGGATGGTGAGGCTGATACTCAGACCTGAACTCTGGAGCAAAGCACAGAGCCCCAGAATTTACTTACACAGCGGAGGAGAGTGACCTCATCCTGGGCAGTATCAGCAAAGCCTTCCCTGCTTTTCAGGACCTTCACAGCTACTTGTTTCTTCCTCCTGGGAAATGAACCACAGCTGCCAGCCAACACATGTCAGAGTGGCCCTAACGTGCAGCACCTCCCCTTCTCCCAGTCACCCAGCTCTGGGCTTCCCAGGGAGGGTGCTGCTCTTCTGCAAGCACCCTTGGCCTCAGTCTGCAGCACGCCAGGCCCATGGGCATCTCTTCTGCTGGCATCTGGCAGCACAGCTGCCCCAGGAACCAGCAAGGGACTGGAGAGGAAAAGGCAGAGCATGGATACTGCAGGGTCTAAATGAGAAAATAAAATGCAGAGCCAGGGCTGATCCCACCTCATTTATGTTCTTTGGTTTCTGGGGACCAGCTCTGCTTATTGCACCCCACTGATCTCTCTGCCAGTTTTTCCCTATGTCCGGGGATGCTGATATGCTTCCAGGCAGGCAGCTTGCTCTGCTGCTTCTGCAAGAGGGGCTGGTCCTATCCAGGAGATCAGCCACCCATTCCCACCTCCCCAAAAGGCAATTCACCCCTCACCTCATGTCCTGGCACAGCCAGACGGTGGCAAAGGCGCCGCAGCCCAGCTCACGCAGTGCCTGGTATCGCGTGTTGAACACCTCTCCCTCCTGCACGGGGTGGTGGCCTCCTGCAGGGACCATGGCCAAGAGACATCAGTGACATCTCTAAATGCTCTTAGGCTGAAGGAGCAGCTAAGGACAGCCAGACAGGTCCCAGTGACCTCCTCTGGCCTGGGAAGAACCTGGCACGATCTCGGCTCTAGAGCTACATGCCCAAGGACTGACCTGTGTGCTGGGCTGGCGGCATCTCCTCCTGCACCTGCTCCTCCATGGCCCAGCAGTGCAGCAGATCCTGGCACGAGGGGACAGAGGCAGTGGGGAACTAGGTTGTGGGGAACAGGCAGTGTGATCTTCAGCACTTTACTCCTTTAAAGAGAGCTGGAGAGCAGCTGTATTTCTGCTGCACACTGTGCACATTGATTCCCTCTTCTACTCCTGCTGCCCCCTTGCTCCTTTCCTTCCCATTCCCTTCACCAGCTCCTGGAACCAGGCTTTAAAAACACTTTTGGCACTTCATGGAGACAGGGATTATTTTAAGAGTTCAGAAGAGGAAAGCTGGCAGGCTGGGGCTGGGCCAGGGCCAGGTGGGAGTCTCAGGTTTCCCTGTGTCCAGTATGGATTTTCAGGGGCTTAGCGGGGTCTATGGGATTCCCTCCCACAGCCAGGGAAAGCATCCCCTCCCCATTCCAGCTGAGGAGGGAATGCATTTGGGCTTTGGCTGTCAGGAGGAGCCCCCAGCTCCAGAGGGGTGTGAAGCAGAACCTGCATTTTAGACACTGCAGCACTGCTCCTCTGCCCACGGCCCAGCCCCGGGGCCAGAGCATGAGTTTATCACTGACCATCTCGTGACATCCCAGCAAGAGGCTGCTCCCGGAGTTTGTTACTATGACAGCCCAAGGTGCAAACACTAAGACAGTACAGACAGACTAATCCAACTACTGTCCCCCCATGCTGCAGCACCAGTGTAGAGCTGGCTTCAGCACTGGTCCTCTGAAATAGTAGCCCAGAGCCCCTGTTGCTAATGCAATACAGATGTAAACTGCCATAGCTGGGGCACTCCCAACCCAGCCTTTCAAAATTCGGAAATGTCACTTGCTGTACTGCCAAAGCTTCAGGCTAACACACACTGTCAGAGCTCGAGACAGGTGATAATAATCCCCATAGACCATTAGCACAGGTAGAATTATTGACCTTTAAATCCTCCAAATCCGGTTGCTTAAGCTAAGAACTCTTCTGAACCAGAGGATTTTCAGAAATAATTATAGAGGGTTGGTGGTGCTGGTGGCAGCAGGAGCCACATGACAGGGAGTACTTTCTTCCAGGTGCTGAGATAGAGGCGTGACTTCCTCAAAATGCTTAAGTTTCTTTCCACCTGCTGATGCTCCCTCCCAGCGCAGCAGCCAAAGGCATAGCCTGCCTTTGGGCACCCAGTAGGCTCCCAGCTCAGTTTTATTTAAGGGTCAGACTGGGCTCAAAACTCCCATCCTGTGAGGGACAACCCAAAGTGCCAGAGCTGACATTGCTCTGTTCACTCAAGGCCATAAAGAAGTCTGAAAGGAGCTCAAAATGCCTCCCCCTCCTTACATTTCTACACCTCTAACCCTGGCATTTATGGGGTTCGGAATCAGCCTCTTTAAGCATAAACCTCCAGCATGCTGCATGTCTGCACAGCCACTCTTCTCAGCAAATACTTGATAACATCTTGGCTATGAAACAGAGCTGAAATCAAAATTTTCCATATTTGCGAAAAGACTAGCAGTATCCTTGCAAGGTCCTGCACCATCACTATCTGTCCAAGCCCTCTTCACTCATGCCATGAGGACAGCAGGGGCTGAGCTGAGAGCTGGGGAACAGCTGGAAAGATTTAATGATGCCACTCACTATTCACCTGTCAAAGGAAAACTCATGAACTTGGAGATATGGCAGTTAAACAGCATCTTCCCTTAGTGGAGTGTTATGGTAACAGGAAAGACTTCAGTGAGAAAATAGGACCCAGAGATAGTCAGTGTAAGACTCATCCTAGCACTAGGGCTGATGGACCTTTTGGGCAGTTCACTGGGCCCTGGTGCCCTTCTTGCTGCAAAGACAAGACAAGTCCATTCTTAGGCATGCAAGGCTTTACCTCCATCCACCCTAGCTGGATGGGAGTACTGGCAAAGGATGAAGAGTGTTGCTGTGCAACTTGGTACAGGAGAGGGAAACATACTTTTCTAGGCTTTGTGATAAAGGACAATTGGTGCTTCTAAGTCCTTCATTAACCTTTATGTTAAATACATAAATATCTTGCTTTTGTCATTCAAATTATTTTGTGCAGAACCCACTGAATTGCTGCAGGCCTGGACTAGCTCAGAGAACTTCAGCCCAAAAACTGGTTCTGCCTGGTTTGTGAGAGCCATGGACAGGGAGCGATGATGCTTCACCTCTGGCCTGGACACCTCCACCTGAGCTGCACAGAACGGCACACAGAGCTCCCCAACACCGGTCATGCCTTATGACACCTGGACATCCAGAGTGGCAGAGCTCACCAGAGAAACACACACCTTCATCTTCTGCACCAACACAGACCTACAAGCCCTTGCTGGGTGCAGCATCCCTGCAAGTCACAACACGTACAAGCAGTACAAGCAGCCCTGTCGGCGCGCGGGTCGCTGAGCCCCAGGGCCCTGCGCAGACTCACCGTGCAGCAGCTCGAGGGCAGGGCACGCCGCTCCCTTTGTCATCTGGCTCCTTCTGGAGCTTCCCAAAGTGAGATACCAGCTGGTCCTGCTCTCCTTTTAGTCTGTGCTGCCCTGGGAGGGGTGTCCTTGAGCAGACCAAACTCTTGTGCATCGCTGGATGGACGCAGTGAGGAGCGGGGCAGGGTATCGGATCACAGCACTGCTTCTGGGAACAACCTTGGCTTTGGGATAGCAGGAGACCTCAGACAGCTGCGGTGGATTCACTTTACTGCTGGCCTCTCCCTGCCTCTCTGGCAGCAGGTCTGTCAGCTTGCTGTGGATCCAGAGTCTCCACAGCAACTATTTATAGCGGGAAATTCACAGCTCTACTGAGATGGAAACAGAAAAATCCTCCCCCTCTGCTCCACCATCCCCAGACCCAGAAACCATAGGGCTGCCTCAGTCTTCCCGTTGCTCCCAGTATGTCGGCAGAACTTGCTACTGCAGCACCATCTACCTGACACAGCCATCCCCAGCCTGTGCCTGGCACAGCCCATCTGTGTGCCACACTGCCAGACCTGAGGCACCTCACCCTCCCCAGCAGTGCCCACATGCAGCCAAACACCATCACAGTATGGTACTGGTGGCCACAGAGCCCACATTTCCCCTGTTCCTGTCTCTAGAAGAGCAACTGCAGTAACGTCCTCCCTGCAGCCCTGGGGGAACCTGAGCATCCCAGCACCATGCAACACTGGGGAGAAAAAGGCCACACTGGGGAGAAAAAGGCCACACACGGTAAAAATCACATTTTTTCCCCCACTGCCACATGCCGTAGCCTCACACCGGAGCTGGGCATAGTCTGGCCTCCCCCTCGCTGGGGCCCTGGGCTCACACAGCTCAGGTTTCCTAGCTGAGGCTGCAGAGACCAAGCCTCAGCCCTGCAGCGAAGGGTTAACCGTGCCTCGCAGTAGTTCTGCTGCAGTTCCAGGCTGCCAAACCCAGGCCAGGGCCTCCCAGAGCGGTTCTCCCCCTGCCTGTGCCCCTCTGCTCTCACCTGCCTTCCCCCGCACTAAAAATATCAAGGGAGGGGGCAGAGGCTGCACCAGGCTGGGTACTGAGCTGTGCAGGGCAGCACAGGGGGGGGACAAGTGGTGTGTGACCCCTAAAAGGCAACAAGAACACGTAGAGTACAGAGAGGAGGGACTAAAAGAGAGGGAGAGGCAGACTCTATCCAAAACTCTGCTAGTAAAGGAAGTGGGGGGGGGGAGAAGAAAAGAGGATAGACGGGCCAGGAGCCAGCTTTCTGTCTGGGAAGAATTGTGTAATTCATTTAGAATTAAGTTGTTTTGGTAATTTAGGAACACTGGTTTCTGCCTCATGCTGGTAGACAACAGTGACCAACATAAACTGTAGCTTCAGCGACCCTTACCCACGGTGGGAGACCACAGCCAGAGCTGCCACGTGCCCTCAGTGTCAGCCCAACAGAGTGTCTGTGGAGGGAGGCTGCCTCCTCCTGTGGGCAGGGATGGTATTTGAGCTCTGGAAACTCCAGATGCACTGGGATCTAGGTGGAAGGTGGCACAAGATTATCTCGAGGAAACACAGCCTATGGAGGGGGCAGGACGGAAAGGCCTCACTTTCCTCATACAGCTCCCAGGTCCTGGTGCTCAGGAGTACATGGTTTCCACTTGGGATGAAAAAAGAGGCAAATACATTCTGGGTAATTGCATCATCATGCAACACAAGCATGACACAGAGGTTGTATATTAAAATTTATTGAATTATTGTGTAAGAATTCTCTTTATTAAAATCATTTGGACTCTAAACTGATTATTTACAGACAAAACCTCTTATATCACCAATAGATTCCTACATCTCAGAACAGTATCTACAAACAGTTATTACACTATGTAACAAAATTCAGATTTTTTTCAAGCTTTTTATATTAATTATTAATTCCAATTTGAGAAAGACAGTACCTTGGGTGCTCTGAGCAGAACTCAAGGTGTGGCAGGGCATAAATGCAGGTCAGGCCATACCTTAACAGACAGACACCAAGTCACAAGGCTGGGAGAGAGCAGAGTCACCAGGACAGAGGACTGGGAAAAAGACTAGAGCAAATGCCCTGGGTGTTCTGGAAACCAAAAGAATCATCCCCACAAGAAAGGCACACACACACACAAAAAAAAGCAGCATCTGGCTGCAACTGGGGCACACCCTGAAAAAGAAACGGCATTCCACCGAGGCAGCAGCATCCGAGAACCCTCTATTTTCATTTAAAAAAAAAATTAGCCATCATTTCTACAAACACACAAAACCTTTCAGGTACAGCCTAAATTTGCCACCAGACAGATGAAAGCAAGAGCTCTCACATCTACATCACGTGCGTGCCAGCTACGCTTCGTCATGCCAACAGGAGAGACATTCAAATACACTAACGGAGATTTATCTTAATACTGATCAGTTCTCAGCCTTTCACCCAGACCAGGGCAGAAGCAAGTTCCTCTCTCTGACTGCACTACTAAATAAAGCTGGATGCCTGCCACCCATCACTGTTCTGAGGGTCCCATTAGAGCAGCCACATCCCCTCACTGTGCCCCTATCCCGCAGGAGG